CCACGATCACATACAACCAGAGGGGTGAGATCCCCGACTTAACGAAAGAAATAATGTGTCATATGAACCTACTAGTGCTTGGAGACCGCTCACAACACCCACCGCCGGACTATATGAGTCTTGCGAGACGGGAGTTCGAGCTGCGCACGCAACTGCGTATCATCTGTCGTCTCAAAGACATCAACCCCCGAGATCTCAACTGCCTTATCATAGAGCATAAGACATAGTATTGAGACGGTATACAGAAGCTGCAGCATTTGTCGGATTCGCTTGTCAGCCCAGTCTTGGTAAAATTCGGATTGACTTTTTTTTTGCAATCATGATGCGAGTGGTCGCCATCGACTTCTTCCTTTGCTGATCAAAATTTACATGACATACCATACTTGACTAGCTCCAGCGTCGTCCCGTCGACGGCCCGAGCACTTGTGATAACTTGCCTCGCGCGCACCGGTGTCGCAAAGAACGTGCGGCGTTCTTGTTAACACTGGAGACGAAGATACCTTGCGACGACGAAGGCTTATATACTATTTACTGAGATGAGAGACAGTGACTGACAATGATGGGTTCCTAACATATGCTTCTGGTGCATGCTGGTGCATTTTGAGTAAGTACTTGCGGCTGAGGCTGAATTACATATGCATTTCAGACCCGGCGCGGGTCGCCGATTTTGATGTTCTTCGGTACCAATCTTGAAGTTACCAGTCGTTCCCAGCAGAGCAAGGTGGCGTATCGGGCTCGTAGAGACTCCCCAACGCTTGCTCTCTGCCTCCGCTATGGTGTCCAAACAGGTCCTTGCCATTGGTGGGATCAACGTCAATGTGTTCACCTCATCAGAGGGGAGTGATCCCTCTGTCCCTGTCACGGTCCTGTTCTTCTTGCACGGGAGGAAGGGCTCTGCGGAGGGCGTCGAATGGGTCCCGAATGCCACGCTGGAGTGGGTCGATAAGCATCGCAAGATCTCTGACCAACAGGCACAGGAGCTGGTGGTAGTCACAATTGTGTGTGGTCTTCGTCCGGTGTGGTCTGCGATTGGGACGGGGTTGTGCTGATAATGCGATCAGGATCAAAGGAACCATGGTACGCGCGTTGCAGATCTCGCCGCGAACAAGGGATGGGATGAGTCGCCCCCATCGTCCAGGAATGACCGACATGCGTGCGTTGGCTGGTCATGGTATCTTCATTTGGAGCGCTGACTGTGGTTATTCAGGATTGATCTTTACTGTATATTTGGTGCGGGTGTAGCTTGTGTTATGGACTAGTCGTTGGCCCTCTCATCATTCTGGCATGTTGAACAGCGGGCACAGCTCAAGATATATCCTTCCTGATCGACTGGCTGCCCGCGTATCTGTACCCATCCGAGGAAAGAACAATCTCCCAGTGGATAGTTGCGGGTCTCAGCCTTGGGGGACATGCCGCTTGGTACACTCTACGCAACGGTGCGCTATTGCCGATGATAGAACTTACTACATCTTCACGCGGTATACGTAGATCCAAGGGTTAAGATCGGTATCCCGATCATTGGTAAGTGTCGGAAATCACAATGGACTCGACGCACTCACTGATCCTAGATTTGGATCCATAGCTGCTTCCGACTATGTGCTCCTTATAAGTGAGCGCGCAAAGCGCGACGGTGTCCCGTTCGAACCGCCCTATGCACCGAAAGTTCTCCTGCAGCAGATCCAGCAGACAGGAGCGGTAAACACGCCGTACGACTCCACGGATGCCGCCAACCCGTTCTTAGGAAAGAAGATACTCGCCTTGTCGGGCGCGGACGATACGTCAGTGCCATGGAGTGCATCAGAAAGGTTCTTCGAGAGGCTTGTCGTGGGTGAAAGCGGGTCCAAGAGAGCCATTGTGTATCCAGGCGTTGGGCACAAATGTACGCCGGAGATGGTTGAGGAAATGTCGCAATTTGTCTGGAAGGAGGCTTTGGTTGTCTGACCATGAAAGAAAGGGGGAATAAGTTGCACGAGAGACCAATGTACACAATAAATGTATCATCGTATGTAACGATACAAGAAACTGACTCGTATTGGGCCTGCGACCCTCTGCACAGTTTAGGGACCAGGAAAAGCCGTCACTATCATGGACAGGGATGAGGGGCGTGCAATACACCGATGTTACCATCAGTCAGTAGAGTTATCAGACTCTGGCGGTGCTGTGTTACCATCTGTCAGTGGAGTAATCAGATTCTGGGGGGGCCTGGAGGAACCCTGCATAAATAGTGAGCTCACCAAAGCAGGACTGATTCTGAATTTCATTTCACTCAGTGTAATCCTCACATCAACAGTTGTCATGTCGGAGGACGATCGTATTACACTTGTCACTTCTCTCTCTCATCTTGACGAGATCCTTGCAGAAGCGAAAGCGAAGCTCACGGTGAGTCGATCGAGCCATTACTAGTAGTGAATACCACAGAGAGCTCAAGTCTTGCCGCGGTTAGATCATCGATTTCTACGCGGCGTGGTAAGCTATCCAGAGGATGACAGTCGTTAACTCGTGGCCTTTCCAATAATGTATGAGGAGGTGCCGACCGTGCCATGCCATTGCACCTAAATTTGAAGCACTTTCAAAGCAATGCGAGAAAGTGAACTTTCTCACGTGCGATACAGGGATATCAAAAGATATCGCCCGTGCGTATAAGATAACATCGATGTATGTCGGCCATGCCTACCATCCAATCGTCTCACACTGGGAACACATTTGCAGACCAACTTTCATCTTCTTGAAGGGAACCATGGTTGTTGACCATGTTCGAGGAGACAATGCAACGTCAGTACTAGGATGGATGTCATGATATCTATCAGCTTTGCTTATTACTCTTATAGCACACTGGAAGACGTCCTCCGGCGCAGGGTGACAAGACCTGTCAGCCAGTGATGACGAACTACATTGGTAGAGAGGATGAACGACCACGTACGTCTCAAGTATAAGCAGCACAATCTTCCAAATGAAGAGATGTTCGAGTCGCCTCACTCAACCATGTCCTGTTTCCTGAGTCTCTTCTTGAGGCGTGCTCTTGCTGACTTTGAAAGGGCGCGAACCTGAGGTTTTTGATATCTACAAAGTCCTCATGAAGTCAGCACAAAAGATACTCAGAGTGCGGACGTACGTTGCGCCCTTCGCGAGCAAGTGAGGAAGCTCTCTGCGACATAATGTGACCCTCATATATGCGATTTTGTGCTGCCTCAGACTAATTGTCAAGTTTAGTGTGCCGTGCGTGAGAGTACGAAATGGGAACTCACTGCCTCTTACCCCTTAATACAGCAGCTAACTCTTTCTGTCGTTTCTCCTCGGCAGTTTCAATACTATCTCCGGAGTCGATATCATCTAATGCGTCAACCTCATTATATTGATGAAGTCCAGAGAGCTTCCCCGCGTCTGAGAGTGCCGGATCTAAGGTTTTGAGATATTCTCTCTTAATTATCTCCACAACAGAGACAAGACGTGGAATCATAGAGGTGGATGTGTGCATCCGGGTACTTTTGTCCTGAGTGGCGGAAGTAGCCGCCTCTAGTTGCACCTCTCCCCCAGTGGCTTCACCCCGGGCGGGAGCCTTTCCTTTGGCGGCGGGCAAAGTGTGTAAGCTCAAGGGCTTCTCTGGATTTTTCTGCGCTACTCAGATAAATGATGGAATAGGAGTGCACTCCGGCACGTTAACGCTCACCTGGAGGAAGTCGAGCGAGAATTCAACCCACGCACGAATTTTTCCGTGACTTGTGATTCGGAGGTCGTGTGCATTGTCAGAGGAGTTGCCTGAATATGAGGCGATAACTTCATCACTAGCAGACATCTTGCAGCACTACAAGGGAGAAATCTGGAGAAATCGCAAGGCCGGCGTCGAGGAAGTCGGACGCGAACCTCAGACCCAAGTACCGCGCGGTGATGGAGTTGAATTCCGCAGAAATGCCTAAAATGGGCCTTGTTGCGGCAAAGTGGCGGGGATAAGGGTTGTCTCGTGGCGTGTACGGTATTTGTCGAAAGCAAACATCCGAGCCGGGTAGACCTCTGCTCTAACAGCCCTGGTCGCTGCTACCGGCGTCGAGCACCGTCCGTCCGTTCATCCTGTCGCCTTTCTATACTCTGCGCCGCTACTATCACTCGAACGAGAGCCGAGGGCGCTGCGCGATCCCTGTTCAACTTCGTTAGCTGATCACCGGCTTCAGTCGCTTTAAAAAGGTGTAACGCCTGCGTCTCCGATGCCCCGTCGTACTTCAACTCCCGCGACACCCGCTCCCACTGGCCCATCGGTCGTCTTACCCCATGATCTTGTCGAACTTGCTCAGTCAAATCCCACTTGGGCCGCCAACATTCAGGAGCTCAGACGACAGTGGAAATGGGCCGCATTCAGCCAGTTCTTCTATACTTTCGCTCCGTTACTGGTCGCGGCAGATGTTTCCCTGATGGTTAGTGTGCCTATCGTGTGCCCGATGCAGCACCTAACTCCTCCATGATCATGGTGTATTGCGATGTTGATCCGTTTATGTGCAGGACGTTGAAGACGACCTTGCGCGAGGAACTATGCTATATATCCCTCGACTAATGCAGAGGCTGCTATATACTCTGACCCAAGACCGGAAAATATCGTGCGTCTCCTCTTCCTACTTAATAATACTGGTTGTTGAACCTCGACACGTAGTGTTGCAAATTGGCAGACAGCGTTGCGCAAGCAGTACATGAGACGTGACCCAGTTGCGAATCCAATTGGTCCAGAACCCAAACAACCCTCTCGTGAGTCTTCTAGAGAACCATCGACCATCCCGGAGGACAGGGACGCGGAAGGCAGCATTGTCGAGGATGTCGGAGAATCTGCGCCGGGGGAACCTGCCGGCAGTCCATCTGAAAACGGATTGGGGGAGCAGCAAAATGCAGAAGGAAAAGGTCTAGTCAACGGAAACATCTCGAAAGAGCTTAAATCCGAGCCCCTCGACGATCAACACGCCGTGAGGAAAGAGGCAACGGTAGAACCTCAGCAGGACGATGACGTAGAGGATAGCAAGGACTGGACGGACCTCCCGATGCTAATCAAACTCGATTCACTGCATTTACTTGTTGAGTGGCAGTTCCAGAATCCTCATCGTCTCAGAACAATAATGAAGGACGATGACGAAGGCGCACAGTGGGTGAGTTGGGTTATGGATGCCCACAAGCGTACTTCTTTACCGTCATCTCTTACTGACCGTGAGTTTATCGCGCTTTTAGCGAATTGAGCCGATTGGTTATGACGCGAAGACAAATGCCTATTGGTTGATTGGACGTAAGTTTGCATAGACTCGCACATATGGCACAGTCATAACCCATATAATTGACAGCCGATCGTTTGTGGATTCAACGCGTACCACCCAGACCCCCCAAAGGGATTAAGCGGAAACGAGCTCCTACCAAAAAGTCGACCGCCCGTGCTTCCACCAGCAAAGTTGAAGAAGAGGAGTATGAATCTGACGCGCAGGTGCTACCTAAACGGCAGCGTGCTCAGCGGCCTACCACACGGCCTCGAGCGGCGCGTAGCCGAAACAAAAAGTCCTCTGGTACAACAGCAATTGAGGAGACTCCAAGCAATAGGAGTACTCGAGCAGCTAAGCTTCAGGCCAACAAGAAGCTAGACGTTCAGGCGAAAGAATTGGCAGAATTTCAACGCCAAGCCGCTAAGCTTGCAGCAAGTAGTAAGTCAAACTCCCGCTCAGCTAAACACAGCAAAGGCCAAAGTGCGGGACAATCGTCGCCCGGTAAGTCTCCGCGGGGCGCTACATTCGGCACGAGAGCTAGTGCCAGACTTCGAGGACCTGCGACCAAGGAAGATGACGAATGGCAGAAAATTCCTGAGGAATGGCTTGTGCAGTCCGGTACTACTCTCAACGCGCAATCTTCTGCAAAGAAGAAAGGAAAAGCGCGAGCAAAAGATGCGGAGGAGTCCACCGAAGAATCTAGTGACGACCCTATGCCGGCTGCTCGGGAATACAAGACCGGATTAGAAAGCGACAGTGAACTCACTGAGCTCTCTGATGATCCAGAGAGCCAAAGTAGTCGCAGAAATTCTCCCGCTGTGTCGGTTGCCGAACAGCTTGAACCTATACAACCTGAAGAACCTGTCACAAAGATTCGACAGACACGATCCCGGAAACGTGCACCGCCACCTAAAAAAGATACCCCTGTAGAGGATGTTGGTAGACAAGAAGAGAACGCTAGTGAGGAACAGGAACAGTATGCAGATGATAACTCTCGGATACCCGATGATTTCGTAGAATGGGAAGCAGTAAGTTTGATTGATCGGTGTCCGATCTTGAAGGATTAACGATGGCTAGATTTGTGTAACCTTGTCTGAATGGGAACACATAGCGGAGCGTTTCGATAAAGCAACGCACTATCTGGAGAAAGCGCTGTACAAAATGCTTACGCAGCACGTTGTGCCTGCGGTGACTGCAGAGCTGAAGGTATGGAGCTCAGGTTTGGAGTATGGGGCTTCGATGGGTTTCTGACTCATTGTGCAGGAAGCGGGACGGAAGCGGAAGCTGGAAGATGCGATCGTTCACCGAAAGCGTTCCTCCCGTATTGCTATCAAAGAGAGCGAGAAGGAAGAAGCGAAGCTGCTTGCGAAGAAGAAAGCTGAGGAAGATGAAAAAATGGCTCGTGTGAAGCGTATGGAGGCGCGTGCGATGAGGGAGGAGGCGGAGAGGGAGAAGAGAGAGCATGCACGAGAGCAGAGGCGGATGGAGCGTGAAGAGCGCGAGAAGCGTGCTCGTGCCAAAGAGGAACGGGAAGCACGAAGGTACCGTCGTCGATCAGATCAGGCGTTAATTTTACAATCACTAACCAAGTATGTTAGAACCCCAACCGAAGAGCGAGGGTCGACGGCAACGCCTGTTGCCCCTGGCACTCATTCAAATGAGTCTGTCCAGCTCAGTAGTGTGACAACACCAACAGGCGTCCAGACCCCAAACTGGATCTTGGATTGTGAGATCTGCCGCAAACATGGGCTAAATATGGTAAGATTATCCTGCTTCGTTCATGGCGGACGCTTATGCGGCTTCTAATTGTGCGATTGTAGGACGATGGTCTGCCAATGGTTTCTTGCGGGTTGTGCAACAAGTGGCAGCACATAAATTGTCACAATGTGGCTGACCAGCGCGCAGGCCGACCCAGAAGAAACTGGGATATCGGCCAATTCTACTGCCAAAATTGTCGTACCAAGCATGCAAACCGGATGTCATATGTTCCTACCAATCATCAGCGTTATCCCCCAACCCAGCAATATTCGACCTGGAACCAACCATCTCTTGACCCAGCGCTGCATCCACAGAAGAACGGGTCTACATCATACTCTCGTGATCCTTACTCACAATCTACCTCAGATATTAGGTTCGTCTCGGGCCAGAATGGTGCTGATTTCAATCAAGAAGTCGCGTATGCTCGTACCCAGACACCACATCAGCCTCCATACACTCGTACTCATGGAGGTCTTACATTCTCTCACTATCAACCAGAGCAGCGGTCCTTCTTGACTACTCGGAGCGCATTGCCGCAGCGTGTGGCGGCTCAGCACGGCCCGTGGAATAACGGATATCCTCCTGCTGAAGAATTAAATGTCAGGACGCCGCAGCCCGCTCAGTATTCATCCCAGTTCAGTCACGGCGAAGGTTCCTATCCTAGCGGTAGCGGCAGCGGAGTGCCGTATCAGGTGGGTAAACTATGCTCTTAGGCTATATTGATTTCTCATCCGGACTTTGTAGGGCACTCCCCCCGCTACCCAACGCCAGTCGTATGATGGTGTAACACAAGCACTCGTGGCACCTATACCTACACCTAGCGGTGGCCAGTGGGCAGGGAGTTCGAACGGTTATTTCTCTGCCAATGACAGCGCCGTGCGATCTGCTGCCGAGTCGCTGGCTTACTTGCAGGGTAGCGCCAACGGCCATCATCCCGGCTGGCAGCATTCGGTGAATTCTCCGCCTCAGGTCAACGGTGGGATGTATGCGGACCGCGGTCATTCTGTGCCTACACGCTCCGATCACACCATGGGTAGTGTCCCCCAGTATCAGTACCCTTCATAACGCTTTGGCTTGAATAGAAAGCGGACGGTCTTCCTTTCGTGTGTGGATTCTTTACATATCATGATCTCTTATTCGTCGTGGCGGGTTCGAATATAGTCTTGTAATTATCGGCCGTGTTGTACTCATACAGTGTTAATTAATTGGATACATTGTCTTCGGCGGGACTACTGGCTGTTGAAATATCTAGACTACAATGTTACGATATGCAGGACTGTTGCTTGCGCAAGTCATACAACTACATGAAGAATTTGACTTCTGAGTTTTCAGGCGAAAGGGACAACACCGCATAAATCTTAGCGGATGCATTCATACATTTTGAACTGTGGAGAGACGAAGGGGAACGGGTCCTCTTCTTCCTCTCCAGATTCGCTGAACAAAAACATGGCGATAAGCTACGATTTCGAGCCCAATAAGGGTGCAGACTTACTCGAGAGGTCCAAGAACGCGTAAGCCACGGACATGTGTATCCTTTCCGTTCATGTGGTTAGCGAGAATGATCATCTGGATAATGTACGCGTTGACAGGTTTACTGCGAGGATCACGCGTCACAATGGGTCAGCAGTGAGCAGATACAGACGTACTATCCGTCCCCATCCTCATTTGGCTCCGCAGATACGTCAAATATAATCCAACCTTCCGGCTTCTCAAGTGTGATAATCCTAACGTCCTGAAGGTCGCTTGGACCGGTGCCGGCGCGTACGGCTATGGTGGCTGGCGTGTAGGAGTCGTCCATCTGGTAGCTCAGACAGAGACACAGTTTCTGATACGGACATGGGCTGTGGCTCATACGCGAGACGAAATAACGCGTACCTGGATGGCAACCTTACGAGGAAACTCGATAGTGATGAAATGCGGCTGTGGACCGTCCGAGCTGGATGCGTACGCGATTGTCAGCGCTGCGGGAGGGAGAAAAATCTAAGGGGCACAACTCACTGCCAAAAGGTCTCGGGATCGCTGTCACGTAGACACTCCGGCCCAAAGCCAAATTTGAAGGAGGAGACAGACCACTTGGCGAGATAGCCAATATCGGGCAAATTGGTCTCTGGGGGCTGCCTCACTAGAGGGTACAGGCTGTAAGTGGCGAGCCGGGGATAGATGGTAGAAAGAGGCATTGGGAGATGCTTACGGGGGTGCACAGTCGGGTTCCCGTCTATGGGCAACTGGGCGAGATAGTTCATGCCCGGTAAGCTCGCTGAGTTGATACTTGCCATTGCGATAATAGAGGAGCGATGCTCTAGGAGGCTCTAGGACAGTGCTGCCGAGAGAGAACAATGGTGCATCTCAAGAGGCAGTAGCACGCGCTGGACTGTCGTTTGTGGCAAACTGCCGGCTACACCGTCAACGTCCAGTGTGTTGAAACTTGCTGTAGCCGACACCGCGGGACGGTGATGAGTGGTTCTGAGCGATGCCCGTCATCGGCGTGGAGAGGCGCGCTTTGACCCCGGACATGCTGCAGCTGAGCGCAGGCAATGGAGTCAGGATCAGCACCGCCATTACCGCTAGAGGATTATAGACGATATGGGAGGCAAATGATCCTCAATGGCTTTGGTCTGCCAGGCAAGTACAAATTGCATGAGAAACAAGATATCGTGGGCAGAAGTCACCATTAAAACAGGTCAACTCAAGCTCCAGCAAGCCTCTGTCGCCGTCGTCGGCGCGGGCGGTCTCGGTTGCCCTGCTCTCCAGTATCTAGCTGCCGCCGGTGTTGGTACGTTTTTCACGAACGCTCTCGACTGATACCGCGCTGAGTTACTGCTCGCAGGTCGCATAGGCATCATCGACCACGATGTCGTAGAGATCTCGAATCTCCAGCGTCAGGTTCTGCATACCGAGGCCCGAGTTGGTATGCACAAAGTGCTGTCCGCTGCCAAAGCCATCGAACAGTATGTAGTCTCAGGGTAGCATGATTCCAAGGCGATATGGGCTAACAACATCTTTCAGAATCAACTCTCGCATACGAGTAGAGCCCGTAACTTCCGCTCTAACAGCCAGCAACGCCCAGACCCTTCTTGCAGACTACGACATCATTTTGGATTGCACCGACAACCTCCCAACCCGGTATCTGCTGTCCGATACAGCTGTGCAGCTGAACCGCCCGCTCGTCAGCGGCGCGGCACAGCAATTTGACGGCCAACTGTGCATCTACAATCTAGGGCCTGGACAGGGACCATGCTTCCGCTGCCTTTTCCCGAAACCCCCTGCACCCGAGATGGCGGGCTCGTGCGAGGAGTTGGGCATCCTCGGCGCGGTCACAGGCGTCATCGGCACCTTGCAAGCTATGGAAGCTATCAAATTAATTACAGGTCTGCACGGTGCGCACTGACACGGACTATTGTCGATGTTACGTCGATCTTGAATACGCACAGACGGGAGACCGACGCTTCTCATGTATTCCGCATTAAGTGCGCTGCCCTTCCGCAATATCAAGCTTCGAGCACGACGACCGACATGTCCCTCCTGCGGCACGGAAGACGAGAAGGTGGGAAAGATTGGGGAGACTGATTATGTTGCGTTCTGTGGTGGCCAACGACCAGACTGGGTTGCTAGAGGGCTTGTAGAAGGACATGAGAATCTACGAATACGCGCAAAGGTCAGTAATCAACAACTTCCTACTCCCGGGTGCTATTGCCTCTGTGTACCTTGATTGATCTTGACGAAATAGGAACTGAAGGACCTTTTGATGACCGGACGGAGGGTCCGCATCATAGACGTGCGTCAGTCAACTGAATTTGGAATCTGTCACCTTCCAGGCTCGACTAGTATGAGATGCCATTTGATACCGAGCAGTACGCGATGTCGACTAACATCCCCCGGTCAGATATTCCCTTAAAGGTATTTGTTGCAAATCCGGCAGCGCATCTCAGTACCACGGATGAGACAAGCGAGAAAGCAATAGGGTGTTCGACTTTGAATAATGCAACGCTAGAGCTTACAGAAGATACCTACCTAGTTTGTCGACTGGGAAACGATTCTCAGATCGCGGTGGAAGCTCTGAAAAGTGTGGGGATGAAAGGTGTGATTAAGGATGTGATAGGTGGACTCAGAGCTTGGGCGAAAGAAGTAGACGAGATGTTTCCTGTATACTAGTAATCCTGCTGTATCAATTGTAACTCCCGTCTGGCATAACAGCACGATTCATGAAGCAGCATTCGATTCAGTCCTTGTGCAGTTTGAAGGCAACCCTCGCGTCAAATGAAATGCAAAGCAAGTTTTGGCTGGACAGCGCGACAGCATTACTCAGATATACTGGTAGATAAAGGGAGCACAGACTCAGTCCGATGGACGCTCAAGACGCTCTCGGCTTATACGTGCAATATACGACCTGCTTACGATGTTGACTTGCATCTGGGTCAGCGACTAGGTTGTTTTGGTAATGGTGACACTCACAAGCTTCCATGTAGCGGTCCATGCATCGTGAAAGGCACGTCTGTATACACAGACGTCAGTGCGGTAATCATACAGACCGGTAAATCCTAACCTCCTCTGAGCCTGACAGTGACGTCGATGGTTTTGTGACGCATTTCGCATAGCATTTTTCATTCGTTTTCTGCGTGAAGTGATCAAAGCCTAATCTTCACACTTATATGCGCGATACATACGTTCATCAGCTCCTGAGCATTCGCGAGCGCGTTCTCGCTTCGGACAGCGTTCATCAAGGCTTCCTTTCTTGTAGCCATATCTGCCATGGTAGGTCGAGTTGCATGAGCCTCCAGTAAAATCTGGCACGCATTACTCACCTGGCGGAGATGGAACGCCCGAGCTCGAAGACCCAAAGAGACTAGACATGACTGTTGGTGGTCGAGTCTTCTCCCGGCTATTATAAGTCGTTGAGCTGCAGCGGTGGCAACTCGATCCTCGGCACTCTCGGGTAGCGCGTGCACGTGATCTTGCATTTTCGCTAGTCCGGCACCGAGACACTTTGAATCCTCAGTTAAGTCGCTTGGACCTTCAGCAAGCTTCACATTAACTTGCATGGCTACTTGCTAGATCTCACATCAATATCTTTTGCACTAGATCAACCTTTCGGAGGCCAGACTCTGATCTTGTGCAGACAGCCCTCCGATGGGTAATCGTGAATCAACTGCCAATGGAGCCGAGGAGAGCGAAGGAAATAGTGTTCCAGATTATTATACCCTCTTAGATGTGGACGAGAGTGCCACTGCGGAAGAGATCAAGGTAGGTGTATCTATCTTAATAACTATTCGCATCTCGCTGAGAACCCCCAAGCGCTCATTCCGGAAACTAGCGCTCGTACACCATCCCGACAAGAATCAGGACGATGTCGAAGGTGCAACAAAGCGATTTGCAGCTTTACAACAAGCATACGAGGTGAGTACATCATATATATCCATGGCTTATCTCATGGAATCTGCAAGTTCATATCCTTCTTTCTACCCTCTAGGTTCTGAGTGACGAACAAGTAAGCCTTTCTTGTCGTATTGCAAGCTCTATATCCTAACCTCAATGCTTCATCCAAGTAGGAGAGGGCTTGGTATGACAACCATAGAGCTTCGCTGGTCCCAGAACCCGACGCCCAGACCGTGTTCGAAGATATTAAACGGGGAGCTCCCCCTCCTCGGGCTCGGGATCGCGGATTAACAGTCCGTCATTTGACTCAATTCTTTGATCCATCCATCTTCTCTGGATTTGATGACGGAGAAAACGTATGAATTTCCTAGTACGGTCTCTCTGCATGTCAGCTTACTGGCTTTTTCAGAGTTTCTTCACTATTTACCGCAATCTGTTCAACCGACTTGCACACGATGAGTCACAATTTGTCGAAATGCCGTATCCTTCGTTCGGTTACTCTACCTGGCCCTGGACTCCTGCCTCAAAGAGCGATGCCGAGCAGGCCGCCCGGACTTTCTACAATTTTTGGTTGAATTTTGTCACTAGTAAAGATTTCAATTGGGCTGAGCTCTGGAATACCACCGATGCTCCAGATCGACGAGTTCGTAGGCGAGTACCTATCCTCATAGATTCATGACAACCTAAATAACGAAATTGGTCTCAGGCTTATGGAGCGTGAAAACAAGAAGGCTCGTGATGATGCTCGTAAAGAATATACCGACACGATTAGAGTGAGTGCACTTATCAAGGTTCGATTTTTGTGACATATCGTATCGTAGTCGCTAGCCATGTTTATCCGCAAGCGGGATCCTAGGTATAAAGCCCACTTGGCTCATCAATCACAAACCCCACCCACCGCGTCAGGGTCGCGCACTCCGGCGCCTCGCGCGACTGCTCAACCCGGTACGGCTACGGCTATACTAGACTTTGTTGAGCAGGACTGGCAGAAGACAACCCTAGGAAATGATGAGGCAGACATTGAGTGGGCAGCTGCAGAGGGTACGGAGGACCCGGAAGTATGGGAGTGCGTCGCATGTGGGAAGAGCTTCCGTAGCGAGGCAGCATGGGACAGCCATGAACGGAGCAGGAAACACATGAAGGCGGTTGAAATACTAAAAAAGCAGATGCTCGAAGACGATGAGGAACTCGGGCTTGGGGGGGAAGACGAGGTGCCGGATAGCATTGAAGACGGTGGGGAACTTAGTGGAGCAACGATGGCTAATGAGCCAGATCAGGCACCCCCACGCCTCCCGAGTCCATTTGAGTCGCCCACAAAATCGAGCAAGAGTACACTTCACATTCACAATGACGACGACGACGACGACGAAGATTCCCAATCTCAGCAGCAACGACGCCAGGAGAGCAAGAAGCTACGGGCTGTTTCTCCCGTGCCTCCACCGAAGTCGGTCAGGAAAACCAAGACTCGGTCCGTTAATGGCGCGGTACACAATAGTACGCTTGGTGATGCGCACACGAGTCCCGAGAGTGTCAGTCAGCAACCCGACCCGGATAGAGACTGCGCGCCGGGCCCTGAGTTTGACCATGCGGAAATTAGCGAAGAGCCACATGCGTCTCTCTCCTTGCCGGAGCTATCCAAGCGAGAGAAGAGGAAGGCCAGGGAGGCGGCCAAGGCTGCACGAGGAGCTGTAGCTACTCCGGAGCTGGTGCGTCTGTTCAATAAACATACTTTGAAACTGACGGAGAGATTGAACCCTTGTTCAGCGGTGCAATGTCTGCAACACAATGTTCGAGAGTCGCACAAAGTTGTTCGCGCACATCAAGTCCTCGGGACACGCGCTTGCTACGCCAGCCGAAAACAATCAAGGAACGAGGAAAGGGAAGAAGGGAAAAAAGTGACATGATACGCTGCATTATGCTTGTACTTTTACGGTTACCGTATGTACCCTGGATTCAGACTTGAGTCCCTCGGTAGCTTCAGGTCTGATGGTCACATATGCTGACGTCGGTTAGAAGGGCAAAGCTCGGAGATTTGGCCAAAAATCGCATTGCACAGCAGATATGTAGGGTCATCACAAATTTGAAACATACAGCCGACCAAGTGAGACTTCAGAGCTTTAGCTCTCGATCTCGACCGTAAATCAGAGAGTACGGAAGTGAATATTATCCCATCAATTGCGTCACGTCCTCGGGAGGGTACTTCGTTTGCGAGAATGTCAGAAGCCTGGGCAGAGGATCGTAAACGTGTGATCTGCGACGACCACGGGGAAGCACGACGCACCGTTTCAAGCTCTGGATATATTTCCGACTAACTTCATCGTTAAGCACGTGAGCAACCTGATCTGCAGAGATCTTCTCGCGCGCAGAACGCTCGTGGATACTAAAAGAGAGGCAAATCAGAACCAGGTCCCATAACTGTGGTGATACGCGGGTATGGCCAAGGGGCGAGAAACGGCCGACTCCGCAGCATGGATGGGCCACGGGAGCGGGCTGCTCCTGATGCATTGTCCAGTTTGGTTTATGTACATGATACATACCCAACCATCGTAACACCGATAGGCCACGGCGCGTTTCCAATTGACAGGCGCAGGTACGAATCATTCGCCTTCTGATATTGCCTCTTTTGCATGTAATGGACGATTTCTGCGACGCGCGCCAGCATATCAGGGGGAAGAGACTGTAAATCAGGTCAGGAGAAAGAATGAACGAAGAAATCTGAAAACACACCCTCGAACGGAGCAACTTGAAAAGTGGTTTGAGATATTCTGCAGACTGTCGTTGTGTGGCAGACGCTAGCTTCCCCTGGGTTGTCCGCTTTACATGTTCTGCCAGTAGGAGCAGGGACAGAGGCAGTAATGAGATGGGGCAATATGAATCGAGGGAAAAGAATGCCACACCAGGCCGTTCGCCCATCCATTCTTCCCATTCCTTCAAAGTTCTCTTCAAAGCGTAGTAAATTATCGGGTACAACTTGTCTGGGTCTGTCTTGACGAGTCCAAGGTCAAGAACTTCCCGGTTGTCAGCACCGCCGTCCTTGCTTTCTTTCTTCTTGCCCTTGTCCTTGGCCTCTTCTTGCGCACGCTTGTCCCTCAGAAGCCTTTCGACGTTCTCTACGTCCTCCAAGGCCTTTTTGAAGTCATTCTGTCCGCCTTGGCGTTCGTGGTTCTTCTCTTCAATAAGCTCCAAAGCACGGAGACGCAACCGCCGGTCTTTGTCAAATTCTCCAAACAGACGGATTGGTTGCCCTTTAGCCCTCAGGCGGCGGATGGTTTCTTCGTTCGAGATGTTGAAAGAGGATTCAGGGGCAGGAGATGCGCTATCACTTATGCCATCCGGGAAGGGTGAACCAGTGTCTGTGCGGGAAAACGAAGCCTGTTCTCGAGTCACGTATAAGCCACAACTGAGGTCGAGAGAGTAGGTTAAACGAATGCTCACTTTCGCCGAACTTCTCCTTCGCTCCTCCAATTGCTTTTCCTGTTCTTCTCTCTCTCTTGTCTCCTTCTCTTCCCTCTCCTTGCGCTCATTCTCTTCCTTGAGACGCTCGATGTCGCCTCGACGCATGTACTTTGTTGGCCTTGAGAGGATTGGCTCCGCCTCAAACACCTTCCGCTTATTTGCAATCTCTGCCTTCAGCGCATCCATACTGAACGGTCGTATTTAGACCAAAGAGCAGAAACACAGTATTAAGGGAGGTATGTGCGAGGAATGCGAACGGCGTTAGCGGGAGAGACGGTTAAGGCCGGGGCGCTTGGGCCGAGAATGAGCGAGTCCGCACGAGTTCGGCCTCTCCCATCACTTCCCGAGTTCATCCTGTCGCCCAGTGGACATCTTGCTCTCCTTCCCTCCAACCAATTGACCTACTCTTCTGCAATGTCTGATCTTTCCAGGTTCGTTTGGACTCCAAGATAGCCCCGTTGTCTATCCATTTTCTCAATTCTTCCACAGTAAATACGTTTTGCAAACCGCTGGCTTCGACGGTTCGTTCCTGTGACATGGCTCCCTATTTATCTCCCACCTCCTAAACTGGCCCTCATAAAACAGCCCGGTTCCCTAATACGAACCAGACGTGGCATTGGTACAGTCCACAGTATCTGGTGGTTGTCGGTAGGCATTACTGACACGTCTACCTGGTAGCTTCCAGAACTACACCGACTATTTCAAGTGTATCGCCGCCAAGGGTGAGGACTTCGCACCCTGCAAGCAGTTCAAGCGGGCGTACAACTCGCTTTGCCCAAGTGAGTGTTGTTGTTTTTCAAATATATGTAGTCTCCTTAACGTACCGTCCTTCCTATAGACGAATGGGTAAGTGAACCATCTTCGAATTTGTCGAGGTCATATCTGAACATTCCCTCGGTACAGACCACTAAGTGGGATGAGCAGCGAGAGAGCGGCACGTTCCCTGCTTCGCTGGAGCCGTGAGCTGGTTGGTCACCCTCGAATTGTAGACGCTGTTGGTGGAATAGACTAGTAAAGCCTTCAACGCCATTAAATGAACATTGGTCCATTTGAGATGCTAAGCCAAGGGTATCAATGGCACCGTATTGCTAGCAATGTCCAAACCTATGTTTAACTCAGAAGTACCAATCACTTGGTATAGCATCATATTTTAAACTTATAAGCATAAGTCACTGAGAGGAAAATTGTGAGCCACTGATGAGTCAAGATAATTGTGGGACAGCAAGAAGTTGACAGGTTCCATCATGTACGTACAAAACATAAAAATTACCTGGCACAAGACTAGCGCCAATGCAGGGATCAGGGAGTAAATTCAAAATCAATAAACACAGGACACCGCCGCATTTTGAGCCAGGGACCAGACAACGACGATAATTGCACAATACGAGCAATCCGCCGTGATTTTTGCTCGACAATGAAGACTTTAAAAAATGCTCGCCCTAGATCTGGACTTCGTCAATTCTCTCGGCAACATTATCCACATCGTCGTCCTCTCCCGAGGACCCTTTCTGCGCGGCAGCGGCAGCGTTCGCAAAGCTGAAGGACGGTCGTACGTTGGCAGCCGCGGAGGGGCTCTTGTACCCGCTTTGGCTATCAGTGGTAGGGGATACTGGGCTACCAACAGGTGTCGAAGATGTGTTCCGCGACCCGAACTGATCGCGCTGGGAGGCAGTCCGCGAAGATGTTCGTGACATGGTATGCGCGACGCGCTCTTTGGTCGTTTCACGATCCTTTTCTAGCCGCTCGGCGACGGCGCTTTCCTTCGCTGAAACATCTACCGGTCTGAGAAATTCAGTGAGAAACATGATGTAATACCGAAAGAGAAACCGTACTTGGCAGCACCAAAGGGGTTCGAACGCGGTGTACTCGAGGTTACGGCGGGATTAGGCGATGCTAAAGGAGAGGGGGTGGTGGAAGTGCCGCTCGAACGAGGCAACAGTTCGAGTTTGCGACGATTCATCTGCGGCGTCGGAGGCGTAGAATTGCTCGCTGCGATCGAACAGATATCGTGAGAATCTTCACTTGCTCAGAGTAGAGAATGAACATGAACTTACGCGATGTGCTATTTCGCGAGATAGCTCGGGGCCTGCGCCAGTCGCTCTCTTCTGGTGGGCTAGGGGCATCCCGAGGAGGCCCCATATCCCCACGACTACGCGCTCCCCCCAAACGGTTTCCAGGACCTTCACTAGGCTGGAACTTACTGCCTCTCGCCCATGATTCAGCCGTATCGGCTGCAGAGGGCGCACCCGGAGGGCCATCCTCTCGGAAGGTGGAGCGGCGCTTGAAGGACGGTGCGACCACGTCCGAATCAGCAGTCGACTGACGGGCTGGACCTCGAGTAGCTGAACGCCAGTCGGAAGCCGAATCGGACACAGAGGGCAAAGCAGGTTCGCGCACGGAAGGAGATCCCTCGAATCGTCTCCGAGGTGCATCGCGAGCAGGAAGATCAGGGAGCGGGCCATCTCGCCTCCAATTTCCGGCGAACTTTGCGTCATCATCGAAGCCACTACCGCCAAACCCGGACCGTTCTTTGGCTATGAAAATGGTTAAAGGCGTACTTTATCTGTAAGGACAAGTGAAACTTACGAGGCTCGGCTACACTCACACGGATCGCACGTCCAGCGAGGTTCTGCAGGTTGGCATAAGCAATGTCTTACACCTTCGAAGTCTGATACACGTACAGAGTTGGTCTTGTTCAGAGCTTCTTTCAGGCTATCCAGATCAGTGAATTCGATGTATCCGAAGCCTTTGGGCTTGTCATCTCTGTCTCGGATGATTTTCACGGATTTGATCTGTGGCCAAGCTAATTGGATGATCACAGCTAACAGTCCACAACAAGTCTAGCACGCACGGTTGCCGCATTGAAGAAGTCCTCTAGTTCAGTCTCGGTCAAATCGAAGGCCAAATTCCCGATGAAAGCCGTGAACGGAGGTTCAGTGGGCAATGGAAGGTCTTCACGTGGAGGCAGAGGACCGCGATCGGCTGCCGTTCGTTCACTTGGTCGTTAGTTTCGCCAAAGTACCTTCGCGAACGGCTAATACTCACAGCGGGAAGACATAAAGTCATCCCTCCTTCGATCAGAAGGGCGTCCCATGTCGCCATCAGCTCTGGCTGTAGCTGATGTCAGTCCGTCGTTACTACATCAGAAGCTGAACACCTTACGGGCTGTTGGGATAGCATCCATTTCGTCGGCCCACGAGCCTAAGGCTACAAACGATATATGACGACCTGCATTTACGCCACTTCAAACTCGATCTGCTCACTGCTATCACCCAGAAACTCGTTCAGGGACATTTTCTGTGCTTTCTTGGGCGCTATGCAGAAGAACATGATCAGTAGTAGTAGTGTAGCGCATGCGCAGAAGAATAGTGCGTACCCATGATGGATATATCAGATCTGAGGCGTTTTGTATCGCGCAACTTCGACGAGGAGATCGCAGAGACGAACTTGTGGATATGACCAAATTTCTCAAGCCGCCTTGACTCTCACGCCCTGCTTACGCCCGTTCCTCGGCCACTCCGTCCGCTGTTGACCTCCGTTCAAACTTTCGATCCAAGATACACAAAAAATATTTCCAAAAAACCATAGAATTGTTGCAGCTTCATCCACCACTATCCTCTCGCTGCACACAGTATGTAGTCTTTCGTCGGGCACGAGCCCGGCTGATTGCATAGTTAAGTCATTACGTAATAGCGGAATGACAGCCCATTTAGCGCTGGCTATGCCGCAGTGCGGGCCAAGTGCAGGCGCATCGCATCTTACTAGAATCCTCAGCCTCTTGTTCTAAGACTCCCTGAACGGACTATCGAAGAAATGATATTACTCGAGGTATTCAAATCCGCAGACGATGTCATCAGACTTGAGCGTGCTAAGAATCGTCATGTGGCTAGTCTCATAACTACATTATCCAGACGACACTGGCGGAGAAGTGCATCAAGTCAGTACTTTATATCCTGCCGCATTCTGAACGTATTCTCATATATGCGATCGCTAGACCCAGCAGTTTAGATGTCCAGTTCGTCGATTTTGACGGGGTCCGCTTCCACCTCTCTACACCGGAGCGCAAGACTGTCCTCTTGCTATCCATGAATATCCGCTGCTGGAACGAACTTGTCAAGTATGGTGTCGAAAGCATCCTTAATCGCGAGTATGGAGGACTGGTGAAGGCCCAGCCTGAGCCTGAATATAATGTCAGCCTGGAGATCGACTTGGAAAAAGTACCTCCTGAGGGGGGTGGGTATTCTATTCTCTATTGCTGTGATCTGACTCTTATAACTGTTGATGACCCGCTATCGCAGAGGAGCGGGATACCTATATCAAGTCGCTTGCACTGCTGAAACGCAATGCATTAGCTGCGCCATTCGAGGTTGCCTTCGCGGCGCAGAAACAGTTAGACGCTGCGGGCGGCGGACAAGGAGAACTTATGGCTCTCCACTACCGCGATGAAGAAGTGATTTACGTACAAGCCTCGCCTGATCGCGTGACCGTCATATTCTCTACGATGTTCAGGGAAGAGACCGATCGAATCTTTGGCAAGGTGTTCCTACAGGTTAGTCTTTCCATCATATAGTCGCATCCGAAACCTAACGACGTGTCTTCCAGGAATTCGTAGATGCAAGACGATTGCCCACAATTCAAAGCGCGCCACAGGTATTATATACTACGCGCGACCCGCCACTCGAAATCAGACATTTACCTGGCCTCACTGTCTCAGAGGATGTTGGCTACGTTACTTTCGTCCTCTTTCCCCGCCATTTTGCCAATCCATCTGTCGCATCTGCCAGTATTAGCCACATACAGCTCTTCCGAGACTACTTGCACTACCACATCAAATGTAGCAAGGCCTACATGCACTCGCGTATGCGCCATCGTGTCAGCGAGTTCCAGAAAGTGCTGAACAGAGCCAAGACAGAGGTAGCTGTTGTGGACAGAAAGACCGCAAGGTGAGCAACTCTGCGTTGTTCGTGCGAGATGATTGATTAACTATGTATCCGTTTAGTGGTCGCTCCATGCGCTGAGTTATATCGAAGCTCGATTCCGATAAGTGTGGTATGGAGCCAACTTTGAGTTGGCAATTTTCGGGCGCGTCACTTTGTATTTTGGTAGCACGCTCTATTCGCAAAGTAACTGTACACTACATTACAAGTGCTCGACTTTCAAGATGCTCAGTGCCCAAGGAGATACAATAAATGTGCTATGATACAATTGATCCTGGACGTCAACGATGAACATGATTGCATTTATATATATTATAGTGATAAGAGAAAAGCTTCAGTCCATCACAAAATGTCGACCAAGTCGTTCTATGCATGTCACATATGAGAGAGATAGGAAAAGCCCGGCGAGTATGAGCGAACGCGATTACCTACAGTATTACAGACAAGGCTAGACAATGAGAGTACATGCAGTAGTACAGCGACGTGAAAAGATGCCTACATAGATCAAATATTAGTTTAGGGTGCGACTCTCGCGGTGGTCTCAGAACGGTCGCTTGACTTGTGCACTAGTCTGATGATGAGTGATGGCGGATACGCTCATGCCGCGGGGATCCGTAAGGTTCATCGCGGTGCCGCCCTGGTGCCCTACCTGCGACGAGCTAACTCGCGGGCCCGCGCCATTGTCCCAATCCAGCGCGAGGTTAGCCGCTCGGGTATTTTCCGGGGACGGGAACGAGGAAGGCGACGTGGATGCGGATGAGAGACCGCTAGAACCAGAGAACAATGGCGGCGAGTCGGAGAAGGAGCGAGTCTCGTAGTCCTGAGCGCTGTAACGTGCGTTATATGCTGACATCGACGATGGGGCATGGGGGGATGATGTTGCTGCGGAAAAATAGGACGGGGCGGTGGAATGCCGTGCTTGTTGGATCGGCATACCCGAGGACGCATCAGCAGGACTACCCCAATATGGCACGACTTCATCCGTCAGACCTTGGGGGGGCGTAAGCTGAGCTGAAGGGGCGTTATATACATAGTCCGGCGAGTGGGATAGAGGGTAAACATCGCTAGCTGCAGAGTTCCGCGGCGAGTCGTGCCAACCCGCTGCATGAGTAATGAATGTACGTGGAGACTGTGGCTTTCGCTCGGCAATGCGTTGGTGGCCTGCGTCGCGCGAAAGGTGTTGCTCTGCTGGTGCCGAACCGCCTTCAAAGCTCGACCTGACAAAGTTAAAGACACCCAATGCTTGATACAATGGGCCCGCTAGAGCGACCAGATCGTGACGCATCACTTTCGTGGCTTGCATGTCTTCGGTCCAATCGGCACATCTTTTCCACTCTGATGGCCCTGCGTTGACGGCTGCAGGCCGTGCCGACTTGGCGAAAAATTGAGGAGGATGTGAGAGTATGATCGAAGCCAGGACCATATCCGCAGATAGGTGGGAGACTTTGGTGTCAATGACAGTGCTAAATGGGACATTCATTTTGAAGCTAGTGCCCTCGCATTGGATGAACCAACTGAAGCGCTGCTTGGCTTCGGAAACATAAGCGACCAAATCGTCCGGGGCCATTGCCATACGCTTCCACGTTCCGACGGTTAAGTCGGTACAGGGCATGATACAGATAGCTGAAGAAAAGCAAGACAGTTGGCACAAAGGTATAACTACTAGGAGATGCTGAGCACTCACGTCCGTCCTCGTTGATGAGTGTGCGGTGATTGGCATCGCTGATTTGTCCGGGTAGAACGTCAAGTAAGCCGTGCATTGGACCGCCAGGGGCCTTGGCACCCATCTCCTGCAACTTAGCTTTTGCTCGCCTGAACAAAGAAGTCAGCCCTGGTTCTGTCAACGACAAAAATAATGGCGAGTCACCTGTTCTGGAACCAAATCTGTGTCTGCCTCTCGTTCATCCCAAGTAGCTTGCTTATTTCTTTTCGCCTTGCAGCTGTCGGGCTTCGATCGGCAGCAAAGGATTGCTCAAGCTGCACGAGTTGTTGAGGTGTCACGCGAGATCGCTTTCGTTTCTCTTTGAGGTCGGCAGTGAGTGAGGGTCGATCTCGAGGCGCTGAAGGTGGCGTTTGATGTGCGGAGGTCGATGATGAGCAATCCTGCTCCCAGGATTCGTCTACGCCACTCGAAGCCGAGTCTATAGCGGGAGAGGACGCGGGGGAATCGGCTGGGCTTTCCTGCCTCGAAGACGCTGAGTATGCTGAACGTGTTCGAATGGGTTAGGATCGATTGACTGGTGCGAATTTGGTGAATGGATGATGGCACTCACAAACCATGGTCCAAATTGTCGAACGCTAAAGTGTGATGCTATTCAAGTTGTCGACGAAGTGCACGAGTGTCCACCGAGAGGAGCAGATTCCGGATCTGAATCGGAGAATCCTTTGGAGGGATGCAAGAAAGTGGTGGGGGATGAGATGAAGAGAGGAGAAAGGGTAAGATAGGCATGCTGCTTTAGAGCACCTCGATGCAGAAAAATCGGGAGTCGATGCTGCAGGGAGATCCCGACAGGGTCAGTGATCACGATCATGGATCTAGGTGGCGCATGTACTTAGCAACCCCAAGAGCCAAGGTTAAGGACGTTTTGGCTGTTTCAACGCTCGGCAGCCGTCGACCACGCGAAGGAACAGGTCACACTTACGTTTACAAAGAAGCCATGTTCTCTCTGATGGCAATCAAACCACGGCGAAAGTCTTCCTCCGGCTACCCAGATTCACCGAGTCTCACGGTGCCTTTCTCGAGTCGAGCGCGAGAACCAAAGAATTTTCGCCTAGATCCTCCACCTTTTTGGCACTCGAGACAAAATGGAATGAGATAGTCGGCATCCCGTGCATCAGCAGAGAGGTCAGAAAGAAACAGACATGTGCTCAAAAATATGCACAGCCATTCCCCTTCACCTTCACCTTTGACGGTACCCGCGTACCTGATCGCAAACAGCAACGGGCAGGACATCGGATTACTCCGGTCGGCGGAGGGGCGGCGCTGAGATTGGAAGTTTATACGGATCGGGGGGAGGGGTCGACGGAATTTGCGTGCGTCCGGAGACGGAGGCAGAAGGGGGCGACGAGGAGGAGTGCCAAACACTAAGGACAATCCCCGCCGACGCCGGCACCGACGCGGGAGCATATGGGGGCGTCTACAAATCAGCCAGTAGCGGGGAGGTGGGCCGCGTGCTTCCTCCAGGTTTTGGCCTGGAACAGGCTAAAAAAACAGCGGAAGAATAGGGATTTGCGGGAAGAATCAGTCCGAGGTGATCAACAAGCTGCTGGAGCCCAAAGAAGAATGTCAATCCACTCTGATCTCAACCACACAAGTCACCTCGCATCCCGCCAGCAGGCTGGGCAACTCCGCGCTCCGAGGAGTACCTCAAAATCTAGTGGCACTACGGCACTGCGGTCTAAAAGTGATTTAAAACACTGTCCATGAGCAACCTGACGGTGACTTTTGATGACTGATACGCACTGATTCGTCCACAACTCAGCCCGAGAGCTTCGTATTAAGTAGTGAAGTCGGTGTTGCTGGCCGCTAGCGGATGGCTATTGCGGCCGAGGGCTAGAAGTTGGGTGCTTACTTTTGATTGCGAAGAGCGTCGTAAATCTCCGACAGGCTGAGGTGTTGACGAGTGACCGATGACCCGGTGCTGGGATGTCGAGGAGGTACTTGTTGCTGCGGGCGGCTGTAAGAATACCAGCAGAGACCGAACAGTGCCATCCAGGCTGGTCGAGCGGCCAAGGCCAGCTAATACTATGGGGCTCACTTATCGGCCTTGCCAAGTCACTAATAGGGCAGCTGCGCGGTACATTCCCTTAGGCTCGAGTCTCGTACGCACAACTTCTTGAGGCCGTCTGGCGGGATATAGATAACCGACTTGGTTGCAGAAAACCGATATCTAACAACCATACTGACTCGTTTCCATTAGGCCCTATAAGATGTTTAACTGCCTTTCTTTTAAGGCTGTATAAACGCAGCAAATGCTTGTCATACATCAAACACAAATTGGGTACGAACCACGTTCAAGAACAAGGTAATTATTAATGATCAGGATGGTTATCGAGGTGGGGCTTCCAGCCAACCCCATAGCTATTAGCTATTAGGACGTCAACCGAGTTCCTAAATAGATATTAAAGTCGGCCCAATCAATAAATGCTTCTAGATCTGACCCGAAAATCATAAGCAGAGCTAGCCCGGACCACAAGCGAAAAAAGTTCAAACTAGCACTGACTGGGTGTCGCTTAACACATATTTCACACTTACCAGATGGCTGGATTATCGTATGGTCATTCATGTAGAGGGTACACAGCGCATTACTACGGCGGACACACATGAAACATACAACTTCCAGAGTCTACGACTCTCGTGTCAGATGCCCTGGGCTGTTGAGCTGCAAAGATGAACGTCCGAAAAATACGGCATCGTACATACTTGCCTCGATTACCTGTGATGACAATACAATGATACGGAACACTATACTTACGCAAACATGTGGGACTGCGAGAACAGCCCACGGACATAAATGAGTAGACACAGAAGAATGCAAACAGTCTCTGACAAGCCCATGTGCAAGGCAAGCAGGAGCTACAATCACCTTCACGTTACCGAAAAATATAAACGTCCCTTGAAAGCACAACCGGACCGCTCTAGTAGCGAGGACGTTTTGATTCTCGGTCGTCGTATCCCCCAGGACCTCCTTCCCGCTTGAGATCGCCTCGATACCCACCTCCACCTCCGCCTCCACCGAATCCACCACCCGGTGGACCATACCCACCTGGACCTCCATACCCACCGCCAGGACCTCCAAATCCGCCAGGACCGTTCGGACCATTTTGGGGGCCACCATACGCATTCGCGCCGTGATCGCCAAATCCTCCGCCGCTTTGGAAGCCAATACCGCCACCACGACCCCTACAAGTGAAGTGAGTCCCAAGCGCACGTCGGTGAATGCGGTCTCCATACCTGAAACCACCTCTCCCACCCCCTCCAAAGTCTTCTCTCCCGCCTCGGAATCCGCCTCCGCCTCCGCCACCTCCGTGCCCTCCACCTCCTCGGAATCCGCCTCCACGGCCTCCACGGAACCCACCTCGGTCGCCACCTCGGTCGCCGCCACGGAATCCACCGCGGAAGCCTCCTCTTGGTGCACTCACGAAGGGCGCCGGAGCCTCCGGCTTGGGCCTACCTCCCAAGCCTCCGCCCAAGCGACGGGGCTTCCATCCTCTCACCGTCCTTCCTCGTTCAACGTCGACTAACACACGCTTTCCCATGATGTGCAGGCGGTCCGATTCCTTGTAAGCGGCTACGAAAATGGAAGGACGTATCACGTCCTGTTTAGTTAGTATGTCGGGCTATATAAGCGAAAAACGTACCCTTCATGTCGCGTTCGCGTTCGAATACAATGAATGCGTAGCCCCTGCTGCGGCCCCTTTTGTCCCGAACGATTCTTACTCGTTCAATGCTTCCAAATCCTTCGAATTCTCGCCGAAGATCGCTGTCGGTGGCGCTTTTATGCTGTAAACGAGTGAACAAAGTCAAGGTCAGCACGACGTCAGACTACGAGTGGGGGTAAATGCACCAGACGGGCAATAAAGAGAGTCTTGAAAGGATCGCCCACTGCCTCTGCATCATCCGCAGGCTTGTCTGCAATGAATCATGAGTGCGTGGGTTACGTAGGTGTATGAACAGACTGCGCACATATCTCCTTGGCAATTTTGAATTCCTCTGTCTTTTTTGCCTTTCGTTCATCCCTTCGAATGGCTCGCTTAGTCTCCTCCGCATACGTGAAGGCAGGCTCCTCGCCTTCCTCCATGCCTTCGCTTCCTCCCGACTCAATCATGCCCTGCGTCTTGTCTTCCCTGAGACGGGCCAAGAGTTGTGCGACGCCATTAACATGTTTCTTCCTCACTCGGTCGATATCTCTGTCCAAGGGTCGTGTATATGGAAGGGGTGGACGTGGCGCGAAGAGTTTGAGCAAATTGGGTGGCAGTAGGTGAGTGCCTGGCATGGTTGTGGAGAAGAAGACGGGCTTAGATCACGGCTAGAATTGATATGGTAAAAGCAGAAGACGACGGTGCACAATAAAAATACGACAGCGAGGGAAAGTGAGGCGATTGTTCGCTGTGCGTGAGGCCGCGCAGGACACGAATTTGGGCGCGAGAGTGGGAGAGAGCAACAAGGAGGTGTGGGAATTTCGCGCGACCGAGCTGAAGTCAGTCACTTGAGTGTCACTTGTCAGTGGAGCCAGCGGTCGAGCTGACTCCAGACGGTAAGTCCCCCATCTATGTTATAGACAACGATTCAAACATGACAAATTATCAAAGTAGGGCTTAATGACTGCTCTAAGCTCTTCTCTCATAGGCAGGGCTTGCCGACATTGCACACCAAATGTGCGACGTGCACCTAGGCCCATCTCGTACCGACTGACCTCGACTTTGGCCGCAAGCAAGCCAGTCAATTTTGCCTGGTTCTTCTTCCACAATAACAGATGGACCAACTCCGGCTCTTCTCGGCGGTCACAATCCGACAGTGCAACCTCACCAATTCCTATAACGCAGACAGGCTCGGTTATTGATGCATCCCAGCATCCTCAAGCAATGGCACGGGGTTACCGCCAGACGGAAGTGCTCACTCCTCGTCGTCTTCTGAAGATCTACACTCAACTGTCTAAAGGCCGCCTAACCGCCTTGGTTGTACTGACTACAATGTCAGGCGTAGCACTATGTCCATTGCCTACCACATTACCCGTTCTTCTGTCCACCGCCATCGGCACCACACTCTGTTCAGCCTCCGCTAACACCCTGAACCAAATACAGGAGGTCCCCTTCGACGCCCAAATGTCCCGTACACGTATGCGTCCCTTGGTACGACGAGCAATTAGTCCGCTTCATGCTGCCGGTTTCGCTGCCGTCACAGGGATCACAGGTCCTGTCATCTTGTGGACTATGGCGAACCCTACCACTGCGTGTCTCGGCTTTGTCAATATAGCATTGTATGCGGGAGCATATACATGGCTCAAGCGCAAGAGCATACTCAACACTTGGGTTGGCGCCATAGTGGGTGCTATCCCTCCACTAATGGGATGGACGGCATGCGGCGGGAATCTACTCCCAACCACACAGTTAGATCTCTACCTCCCCTCCTTCCTTTCCTCGGTGCCTGTTGAACACCTCGTTGACAACTCACTTGCGCCGCTTGCACTCTTTGCGCTGCTCTTCGGTTGGCAATTCCCCCATTTCAACTCACTCTCGCATCTACTCCGAGAATCATACGCGCAGGCGGGATATCGCATGCTCTGCGTCCTCTCTCCCGCGAAGAATGCCCTAGTCTCCCTCCGGCACACACTCCTCTTCTTCCCCATATGTTCAATTTTAATTCCCTTGTCTGGGCTGACAACGTGGACCTTCTCTCTCGTCAGCTTGGTACCGAACCTAATCGTTGCGGAAGCGGCATGGACATTTTGGCGGTCGAACGGCGAGAAGCAAGCACGCCGTCTATTCTACCACTGTCTCTGGTATCTGCCGGTCATTTTGGGGACAATGATGTTTTGTAAGCGAGGGTTGGATTGGACATCGTGGATGGATGACAAGGTGGATGAGAATGAAGACACAACTCAGTTGGTACCATCAAAATCATAGTTGGTGATGGAGGAGATGAGAAGAGGGCCCTGCTGTCACTTAGCGCCTCTGAGAGTATGTTGTATAGATTTGAACTTACAATTAGTATGCTCGTAACCATGTCGCACATTACCCAACTATCGCGAACCTTTCTGCCTTTTCGCTGCACGAGCCGCCTCCCGATGTTTCTTCAATGCATCCAGCTTATTTTTCAGCACGACAACCTTCGCATCGGCCTCCTCTTGCGCCTGCTCCTCGTCCATGAGACGATCCATGATTAGCTCTCTCTCTTCCTGCTCCTTCCGTCGTCTCACTGCGGCCTCGTCTGATGGGTCCTTTTGCTCGCCAGCTCCATCGGCTTGCCCACTTGGAGGGGGAAAACCCTCCGGAATTTCAGATACCAACACGGGCTCGGCAAAGACTGTAGCCCGCTTGTATGCCTCTCGTGCATCGGGGACTTCAATGAGTGCGGCCTGAAATTCTTCCCACTCCTTATCAATCGCAGTGGCCGCCGCACTCGTAGACCGAGGAGCAGGAGGGCCGCCCACTTCAATATCTTCTGATCCATCGTCCGACGACGGTGGGGGAGGTGCTCGAGATGCGTCAGAGAAGAAATCCGCTGGGAATGCTGACCGGGGCTCGCCATTTGGAGCGAGAGGTGGTGCCCCTGCAGAAGGTGACCCTTCGGCATCCTCGACTCTCCGTCTCTTGGGCTGCAGTTCTTCATCGCTCGTATCAGCATCCACTTCGTCCATCGAGCGTTTCTGTTGCTGTAACTCTGTCTCTCTTCGCAGCTCTTGTTGGCGCTCTTCCTCTCTGAGGCGGGCAGCGTTCATACGATGTGCTTTGCTACCTATATGACCGTTCCATGCCGTTCCCTCCTTGATAATGATACCACATGCGATACACCGCAGCTGTCCACTTCCGCTGTATGATGCTAAGGGGTGATTAATTCGAACTTCTTGCCGCTTAGCTTTGAGCAGAGCGCGAACATCCGCCATGGTAGAACTTGATAGCTGAAACAGGAATTGGGCAAACGAAAGAAAGCAACGACAGAAACAGCGCAGCAAGACCGCATACGAGATCGAACCAAACCATTATGTACAGCTCATCACGGCGTCATACTCATCCATTATCATTACGTAACTAATCATAGCGGAAGATAGCACAATACACCAACAAGTATGGTATTCTAACCGCTTCAACCCCAAGTCATCAACATCCATACTTTTCCCAGTCTATCGTTGTAACGCTGCCCAAAGGCTATTTATTGCTTGTCTTTGAACATCTTCTGAATAGCTGCTGTCGAATACGACTTTGGTCGTTCAAGGGCTATCATCCAACTTATTAGTATGTGGTAGAAGAGAATTTTACGTATTCTACTTACGAGCACCAAGGGCACGATCCCAGATGAGCTGAGCAGCCACACCAAAGGCACGGGAGACACCGAAGAGGACGGTATAGAACTGCATTTGGGTTAAGCCGTAGTGTGTTAAGAGGACGCCTGAGTGGGCATCTACATTGGGCCACGGGTTCTTCGCCTTGCCTGCCTGCTCATTCAAGAACATTTAGCAACGAAGCAGTTCTTCAGACCATTCTACGAACCGCAAGGAGAATGTCAGGAACAATCTGATACACCTGACCAACCAGCTTGAAGAGCGGGTCGTTAGGGAGATGCTTGAGAGCAAATTCACGTTGAGCAGTATATCGAGGATCAGTCTTCCTAAGAACTGCATGACCATATCCAGGAACGACCTGGCCACCTTGGAGAGTCGACCACACGTACTCCCTGACCGCTTCATCGCTAGCGTTCTCTCCAATCTTGGATTGCATCTTGCGCAGCCAGAGAAGAACCTCCTGGTTAGCGAGACCGTGGAGAGGACCAGCGAGACCATTCAGGGAAGCACCGAACGCAAGGAAGGGATCAGAGAGGGCAGAGCCAACAAGCTTTCCCGTGTGAGCGGAGACATTGCCACCTTCGTGGTCACTGGATAGGAATGAGCTTCGAATGAAAGAGGAAAATACAGCAACGCAATAACCTGTGAATGGTGAGGTACAACCTCATGAGCTCAACGAAATTGGCGTTATCTCCAAAGCCAAGAAGAGTGGATAGGTTCCAGGAATAGTCCCTCTCGAGATCAATGGTGGGAAGCTTGCCCTGGCCGTAGACATTGCGATAGATGCGCCCAGCGATATTCGGGAGCTTAGCGATGCTATACGAAGGATTCAATATGATAATGGCATTCGCGAAAACCAGGACGCACAGATCCATGCAGTCTTCGAATACCGGCTTCCAGTATTCCTTCTTGGGAATACCCTCTGCGTAGGCTTTCGCGAACGCCGAATCATGGTTTAACTGTAATCAAAAATAAGGCCATGTCTACTCTAAGATAGCGTATTGGAACGTACCGCAGTGACAGCCAAACTGAATTGGCTCATAGGATGGAGAGTAGGGGGACATCTGTCAAGAAGTTCTTCAACGAACTCGGGGATGGCTGCACGAGCCGCCCAATCCCTGGACAAGGCAGTGACTTGCTCTTGCGTGGGAGCTTCGCCGGTGAGAAGAAGCCAAAAGAGCGCTTCTGGGAGTGGTTCAGACCCGCCGGGGGCCTTGGGAAGAAGCTCCTGGCACTCGGGAATCGTCTTGCCCCGGAAGCGGATACCCTCCTCTGTGAATGAAGATCAACCCGCGATATCTAAAACTTCAGGATACGCAGCATACCTGCATCGAGGACAGAGCCGTCCCAGATGAGGGCCGGCATGCCACGCATCCCGCTAATTATATCAAGTCAGCCGCCTCAATAAACCGAGAGCACAACATGAAGCACACCCGTATAGCTGATCTACAAGAACAGGGCCGAAGGTCTTCTTTCCATGCTCGGCCCGCGTGGCTTTTACCTGTGTCGATCAAGAGACAATCAGCATGGCGTGCCTGAGGACAGAATAAAACACACATTTTCAATCTCTGCGGGGATGAGCTCAGCGACTCTGTCCTTGAGAGAGACTTGTTTGGCAGAAGTCGAGGCAAGCCTGGCCTGGCGTGCGAAGGGGCTCCGGCGGGACTAGAAAGAGGGCGATGAGCAAGCGCATGTGACCACGATTCAAGGAGACCTGTGACCGACCTGCCTGAGGACGGAACGAAGCGCGGAAGACATGCAGGGCGTCGGGGGAAGATTGGGACGATGAGGGAAGGAAGAAAAGCGTGAGCTGGCCGCCAACGCCAGCGCGCACCTTATGAGCTCATGCTCCGGCCCTTCTCACGTGCGCCCTCCGTCGGATTTTGTCGGCGGTTGGTCTCTTTCACTGATCTTGGACGGCGGACGCCCACTAGAACATGGCGAAACGTAAAAGATCCTCCCATCCCGCTCCAGACGCCCCCCAGCAGCACAACGCCCTCTTGCCTCAGGTGTGTTCCTCCGCCAGCCGTCGCACTCGCCCTCTCACTTTGTCTCCAGAAAAGACACTATCGCCAGCGTGCCCACGCAAACCCTTTCTCAGACCATGCCCTCAACTATCCCGCCTCTCCGCAGGGTTTCGACTGGGCCGCTCTATTTCCCTCCTACGCCACATCCGGAAAGACTCCAGAATTCGCTGATGTCGGCTGCGGCTTTGGCGGTCTCTTGATTGCTCTCGCTCCTCTGTTTCCGGACACTCTCATGCTTGGTCAGTGTTTCTGAACCGCACGGTGACATCTGGCATTCTTTGTGATTCCTCTGTCAACGCTGCCATTCTGAAGTATCCTGCGACACTAGCCATCATCTCATGACTTTTACACAGGCATGGAGATTCGGGTACAAGTGTCCCAGTACGTGCAAGACCGCATAGCGGCCCTCCGTGCCACACCAGCCTCTTCTACATCACATCATTTTCAAAACGTATCAATTGTTCGTGCCAATTCGATGAAATTCACGCCAAACTACTTCCCCAAGCATTCACTCTCCGCGCTCTTTTTCCTGTTTCCTGATCCTCACTTCAAATCGCGCAAACACAAAGCTCGCATCATCTCGCCAACTTTATTGGCCGAGTACGCTTATGTTTTGAGACCTGGAGGGATTGTATATACCATCACCGACGTACGTGATTTGCATGAATGGATGAAAGCTCACCTAGATGCCTTCCCGCTCTTTGAATACGTGAGTGAAGAAGTTCTTCGCGCGGAAGGCAAAGGTGCCATTCTGGATGCTGTCTACAGTAGCACAGAAGAGGGAAAGAAAGTGGAGCGGAATCAGGGGGACAAGTGGTTGGCGTGTTTCCGAAGGATCGAGATTCCAAGGCTGTAACAGCTATCAAACATTGTACCAGTCCCAACTTATTGTACCTTGAATCAATCCAGGAGACTCGCAGGCAAAAGGTCTGAGAATTATATGTCATTTACGTAGTTCATATCCGTGTCCTGTTCGACCCTCTCGCCGCCACCTGGTTTCCCTCCTGATCCTAGGCTTGTAGCTAATGCGCTAGTCCTCTCTTTCACAGCATGCTTCATTTCTTTGTGAATTATCTGTCCCGCAACGCATGCCAGTTCGAAGATCTCTGCGAATCGGTCGACGTGTAGCCGAGTATCAAGAGTCACTAGGGTCACTTTTTTGGTCTTGGGCATTATAGCCACCGTCAAGTTCGGGAGGTCGTTCTCCTCAAGTGTGGTCAAGTCCAGCATCGGAGACGTCGAGTGTACACCTCCACTGACGGCGCACACGAAATCAAGCAGAGGAATGCCAGCCGTAACGAGCGCAAGAGTGGTTGCGTTGATGCATGCGTGCAGAAGACCGCCATCTTGCTGCAGGACATGAAGGAAAATATCAATCTGGGAGCGCGGATAAAGATTTGTCTGGACGACTGGCTCAAATGTAGACTTGATCGTCGCGGCGAGCTCGAGCACACGCCTGTCTGCGCGACCCCTTCGGCGACGCTCGCCTGTGCTGAAGGGGGAAACGTTGACCTCTACGTTAATGACTGCCCTGTCGTGAAGTGTCTGGGACCGAACGCGTGCCTCTCTGGGACCAAAGACGGTCGCCAGGACTTGGGTGAGGCCGTGTGTCATGAGAGCAGATCCGTCTGCGGTACCCTGCTGCGAGAGGTCGATGGTGATGTCGCGCAACTCGTATTGCCGCCGACCGTCTGAACGGTATCCTCCATCGTTAAGAATTTCGACTCTAGAACCCTAGTAGACGCATCGTCAGTACCGTTCTGTGAGTTGGGGTGATTTTATTTACCATAACCTTCCTGCTGAAATATGTCTGCAGTAGGAAAAGAGAAAGGAGCGCGCGACTTGCCGGACAAGATTTGTCGTTCAGTGCGCCGTGAAGATAGCATCTTTCGGGAAGGGCTACGCTACTTCCTCTTCTCCATCACCTCATACAACAATGCCGTCTGGAAATCGTATTGTCATGCCCGTGTCGATTTTAGACACTGATTTATACAAGGTAGGCTCTCTCGCTTCTCGTGTGCATCCGTGCCAATCCTTACGTCTGCAGTTTACAATGCAACAAGCCGTAATGTGCCATTTCTTGGATGTGCAGGCAACATATCGCTTTACCCATCGCGCTAAAGACGTATATTTCTCTCACGAATGCATAGAGGCTTTCAAGGAATCTATCTCTCGTGCGTCTATCTCTGCCAATCTCATTCTAACTGCTCACTACCTTCCCCATTCAAGATTTCTCTGAGCTTAGCTTGACTGAATCCGAGCGCGAATGGATGGAAAAGAACTGCCCCTATTTCAAATCCGACTATCTGCAATACCTGTCTACCTATCGATTCAAACCTGACCAAGTCCGTGTGCGCTTCTTACCCGTCTCGCAAGACGGTAACTGGGGACATGTTGAGGTGGAGATTGCTGGTCCCTGGATCGAGGCGATTCTCTGGGAGGTGCCTCTCATGGCCTGTTTGAGTGAACTCTACTTTCAACTGGTTGATACAGACTGGAGTTATGATGGCCAAGAAGGTGAGTGTTTTCATATTCCATGTCATGATGCACACATCCAGGCACATCTTCCTTATCAGCCGCTGCATTCCGCAAAGGGGAGCAACTGTTGTCGGCTGGTTGTGTATTCAGCGAGTTTGGTACTCGCAGGCGACGTTCATTCTTCGTTCAGGATCTTGTCGTACGGACACTCGTTCGTGCTTCAACCGAGGTTCAGGGTAGTGGAAAGGTTCTCGGAACGAGCAATGTATGCATGCCAGGCTATTGCTTTGACTCCTCATTGACGAGTTTTAGGTCCACTTGGCGAGACAATACAACGTGCCTCCCATCGGTACTATTGCACAGTATGCACAATCCATCAATTACTAGTAGATGTCATTTGATTGAGCGTCCTTTGTGTAGTGAATGGTTTATGGCTGTAGGTTCATCTTTGTTGTATACATGATCCTTGATTTGAGTTCATTCATCTCCAGGTCGGCGCTTTGAAGGGCTATGAACATGCAAACGCGCTATCATTGTCTTTATGGGAAGTCGTATATCCGGATGCGCTCCAGCTTGCTTTGACCGATACATTTTCCACTGAGGTTTTCTTTCGGGTGAGCGTCGTTATTCAAGGGCATTTCGAACATTCTGGTTAAGTTGGCTATGTCCAGGACTTCATCCAAAACCCGGATATGGCCAGGAGATGGAAGGGACTTCGGCAAGATTCGGGAGACCCCTTTGTCTATGCTCCACATGCAAAGGAGATATATGAAGCACTTGGAGTTGACCATCATGAGAAGATTATCATATTTTCTGATGCACTTGATGTTGGTAAAGCCATTGCCCTTAAGAAGCAATGTGATGAGATTGGATTTATATGTATGTCTTCTTTTCTGTGTTGCGAATATTTTATGAATGCATTGTTACAGCATCATTTGGGATTGGCACCTCCTTGACAAATGACTTTAGGAAGCTGTCTTGTAGAGAAGTATCTAGCAAGGCATTGAATATGGTTATAAAGCTAGCTGAGGTTGACGGAGCTTCATGTGTAAAGATCAGTGATGAAATGACCAAGGTAAGGTTGGCCAAGTATATTGTGATTGGCAGTTATTGATACATAATTTATTAGAACACTGGTGATCCTGTAGTTGTTCAGCTTGTGAAAAATATCTACAACTTACAGCCATAGCTAATATATGATTGACAGCTAAACCTATAGGATGATGATGTTGATGGAAGATATTCAACTGGAGGTTTCTACTAGAAATATAACAGGTATAATACTGAAGCTGTCAAAGTATTGTCTGACACTTGATGACTAAACTAAAACCTAACCTTAAAACTTACATTTGATATGAACAGTGTTGGCTGGGTTGTCTTTTAGAAGAGTTGGGGGCTTGACTTGAGCTGCCCTCTCTACACTGTATTGCTCTGGTATTTATACATGAGGGATCAAAACCCTAACACTACTAGGTAGTACATCTGACATTTAGGCTGACTGATACTTCAAATATGCCATTGGCTATTTAAGAATACCTGACATGTGAAAACTCTACCTTGTGTTGAGTTAGCAGCTCCACTAATGACCACCTAAACAGCTTGGTGTGGTTCTAGAAGTATAATAGAGATATTCCCTTGTGATGGAGATTCTCTATAGCTTTGTCCAAATGATGAACAACCACCTAACTAGTTATATATCACTATCTATCATCTGACTATACTAGGAAGATATCTAATCTAATCAGATATAGATTATCTTGATACTGAGATTGAATAGATACTTTAGAATTCTGTGACAGAAGCTGTCAAGGTATCTCTATGTTTCTGTGTTGCAATACAAGATTAAGTGACAATAAATAACTTACAAAAGCAAGAAGTTTAACTAATTTTTACTAAAGTAACAGGAAACTCTGCTGAAACTTTCATTCAAGCTTTATTAGATACTGAGGCTTATAAGTTCCTTATTTTACAGAATATTGATTTATAAGTATCCTTACTGATTGAGCAATTCTTGATATACATATTGTAGAATAGCCCACTTTTTTCTTATATTTGTTTTTAACCTATTTTATTCATTTTTATATGAGCACTATAGCTACTGTACTTACTGATTTACAGTAGGGGGCAAAAGTGTTGCTGTTACAGCCTAGTAGGAGAGAGAGAGTTTTCTTCTCATCTTGCTTACTATCAAGGTATCACCTTGATACTTGACTGATCCAATACCCTAACCCCAAACACTCACTTGTTGTTGTAGAGGTTGTATAGGCTAGCTGGGGGCTGGTGACTATAAGAGCTTGGTAGGCTCAGAGTAGAGGATGAGTAAGTAGACAAGGGTAGACAAGTATAACAAGTCTAAGTAACAAGTCTAAGCTCTCTATGCTGTATTGCTCTGGTCTTTATACATAAGGAGCCAGACCCCTAATACTACTGGT